CCCAGTCTGATGAGAAAATCCCACACCTGTGATCACATCATTCCACAAGTGAGTGAGCCAAGGAACTTGCCAGAAATAATATGTACAGCAGAAGCATAGACGTGAGGACTTCCATTGCCTGGGATTATGAGCTGTATGGACAGAATAAGCATTATGAGTCAAGACTAGTTACTGGCCAACATCTCCATCATGAGGGAAGAGCCAAGGCTGGCTTACCATTAGATACAGTAGGTACAGAATCCCCTCTACTTTTGAGAGCTCAGGAAAGTGTTTTAATTTCTGTTAAAATCAGAAGAAGAAAAGTAATATTACACTCTAGCCTGGATTATATTCATTTTTATACCAATACACTAGTAAAATATAATTTTTAAGAATTTTTGTATGGAGGAAGAGGCCCTCAAAAGCAAAAGAACCAAGGGCTTGTGAAAATTATAACATGACTCTGGAAAGAGCTTGTCTGAGAATGAAACCAATGTGGGGAAAACATCTTTGAAAGATGGAGCAAGAAAAGTAGAGTGACCATGTGAATCAACCATTTCAGAGGCCAAATTATCCTGGTGGACTTCTCAGGTAAGTAAATAAATACATTCCCTGTTTACTCAAGCTGGTGTACTGGATATTGTTATACTGGCTGCTCAGAACCTTCTTTTGTTGGAGGAGTTTCCCATGGTCTCCTCCCACTGAAGAAGCCTTCCCTTGCTGTTATGGTTTGTGTCTGATTTCCCCCACCCCTACCACCAAAGCCTTGTGTAGTCATGGGGTGGGCTTCTAGAGTTTATGACTGATTCATGGTCCAATGCTGGGATTATAGGTGTGAGTGCTATACCTGTCCTGGGATGGGTAGCTTGCATACAATGCAAGGGAAGGAAAGAGGCTGCTTGCCACACTTCTCCCCTTGTGTTGTTGCTTTTGCTATTTTCCGGAGCCCTGAATGATTACGCTCTGCCATGTGCCACTCTGCCTTGGAGCCAGCTGATTATAGACTGAAACTTCCACAAACTGTGAGCTAAATAAACTTTTCCTTCCTTAATTTTAGGTATCAGGTATTTTGTCTAAACAATGAGGGAAAGTAACCAAGACAGAATTTGGTACCAGAGGAGTGGAGTCATTGCTGTGACTATACCTGACCATGTGGTTCAAGGCCCTTGGGAAATGGCTTGTGGAAAGTGTTTGGAAAGGTACAGAAATTTCTTCTGAAAGGGAAGCACAAGAATGGTTTCCCACCATGGTTTCTGCTGGGAAGAAGGACTGCATTTGTTGTTGGACTCCAGACAATGTGTGTTATGGATTGGCAGAAAGTTTGTCTGCATTTTGCTTGTGTCCAAAGACTTTGCCTGAGACTGAGATTAAGAGCAGTGAACTAATTATTCTGGCAGAAGAAATTTCAAAGCAGTTGAATGTTGGGGCAGTGACATGGCTATTGTTGGGGGCTTTTAGCCAGATTTATGTTGAGAATCAAGAGCAAAGTGCCCCACAGGATGATTTAAAATGTGAGTTTGGCCAGAAAGGAAGCTCCTGTAAAACTGTGGACTACAAAAATAGAGCTAAGGAGATCTCCACTGTTGAGAAGGAGCCAGAAAATCAAAAAGATGGCCTGAGGGCATCACAAGAAGCTGCAAGTCTCCACCCCTTGCAGCCTCGAACCTGCAAAAGTGAAAGCCACAGAGTGTCAAGTTCCAGAATGGCGGCAGCATAGATAACTTGTTCCTCAGAATCAGGTTCAGAGTGTTCAGCAATTCAGGATATCAACCCCTACAGCCAAGAGAAAAGAAAACTTGGCTACTGCTCCAGGTGGCAGCAGACCTTGGCATCATACACGTGGCATTGGCTTTAGGCACATACAGAATGCAAGAGTTCTGAGTTAAGAAGGTTTCCACTTAGATTCCAGAAGTCCTGGAAGGCCAGAGAGTGTGCCCCTGAGAGAGCAGTGTGTGAAGCTGTGATTGTGAAGCAAAAAGTGCAATGGACACCCCAGAAGTTTGGCAAAGCCAGGAACATGGGTTGTCTGAGGAAAGTTGCAAGGAGGGAGCAAAGTGGGCCTAAGAGAGAAGTCATGGAAGCTGTAACCACCATAAGTGTCATAGCAAGCAAGCCCTTTGGAGCTCACAATGTGTCACAGATTGCTTCAGATGCTGGACATGGAATTATAGGACTTAATGTTTGCGCTGTTAAACTGGGCATGGTGGCACACTCCTGTAATCCCAGCACTCTGGAGACTGAGGCAGGAGGATCATTGCAAGTTCAAGACCAGCCTGGACTACAAAGTGAGCTCAAAGCCAAAAAAGACCAAAAAAAAAAAAAAAAAAGTTTGCCCTGCTCGAATTTGGACTTGCTTTGGTCCCATTCCTTTGTATTCCCCTGTTTGTAATTTTTGGAATGAAAATGCTTATTTTGTGCCATTGAATGTTGGAAGTGTTTAACTTTTCATTTGTACATGGGCTTGCAACTAAGAGCTTGTCTTACATCTTGGAGGAGAGTTGGACTTGGACTTTTCAGCAATGCTGAACTGTTAGGACTTTGGCAACTCTTAGAGATGGACTAAAATGTCTTTTGCATAAAAGGAAGTACATGAGTCTTTGGGGGGCCTGGGGCATAACGTTGCGGTTTGTGTCTGGATATCCCCCAAAGCCTCACCCAGTCATGGAGTGGGCTTCGAGAGTTTATGATTGATTCATGATCCAATGCTGTGACTATGGATGTGAGTGCTACACCTGCCCTGGGCTGGGTAGCTTGCATACAATGTAAGGGAGGGAAAGAGGCTGCTTACCACACTCCTCCTCTTGTGTTGTTGTTGCTTTTGCTGTTTTCTGACTCCCTGAATGGTTACGCTCTGCCATGTGCCACTCTGCCTTGGAGCCAGCTGATTATAGAAGGAACCTCCACAAACTGTGAGCTAAATAAACCTTTCCTTCCTTAATGTTGGGCATCAGGTATTTTGTCTCAGCAATGAGGGAAAAGTAACTGAGATACTTGCTTTTCAGCCTCCATTGCAAATAGAGTCCAGGGAAGAGACTTAGAATCTCTGGTCTCACAGAGGTTTTGTAAACTACCTACCAATATCCTTAGGAAAACTCTTTGCTAATTAAGCAAGGCAGAATTGTTTTCTGCTATTTGCAAGTAAGACTCCGAGAGGTACAGCTGGGTGGAGCTGGGCTTGTCTCACTCGAGACCAAAGGTATTTTGGTTAATACACAACCTGACCCTCCTTTGTGCCTGCCCCTTTCTGAGTGTTCAGAGCCAACTGGTGGCCATATCTGACCAGCAGCCTGGCTCCTTTGTCCTGAGAGCAGATGAGTCAGGCTAAGTCCCACCCAAGGTAGGATAACAGCGACCAGGATAGGTGTAGAACACATTTTGAAAGATCACTGTGATATAAAGAGCCCTTGGTGTCTTTGTCTTTTCTCTCCTGACTCAAGCCTCTTTTTAATCTGAGCCCATCCTTCTGACACCATCTTTAGATGATGGGATGCAAAGAAAATATTTTGTTTGCTCTTTTCTTCTACCCACAAGCACCATAGACAGTCTCCCACAAGAAGATAGATATAAGGGAAGTACTTGCAGGGCTGCCTAAATTGATGGACTTTCAAACAAAAAATCAGGACTAGCTGTGAGGGCAAGCTTGCCAGGACAAGCAACTGATGAAGAAGAAGAAAAGCTTGGAAGTAAGAAATGTAGTCTAAGATGGATGTGGCAGAGGAAAGGGAAAGCATTCAGGACATCCAGACCTACAATTTAGTCTAAGTGCTTGTGAAGTGGCCTATCTGCCCCATCGTCACACAGCCAGCACCATACCTTTTTCACAGCCACTATCTCAATCCCTTCTCCCCAATCTTGCACCTCCTCAACCTAGCCCTAGCATCCTCAAGATACTAACTCCTTACTTTATTTCCCTTTGAAGGTCTTATATCCCCCCTACTGATTAGGTATCACACATCTGTATCAACTTTCTTATAGGATCATGGGCCCTACTTTCCTCTTAGACTACTTGCTTCACCCTCTGAATACACCTGTGTCCTTTCATCCTCTTGCAAGGCCTAAAGGTGGAGACCGAGTATGAGTCATCTCAGACCTCACGGCTCAGCACAAACTCTGACACAGAACAAAGATCAAATCTTGTGACTAAGTTCCATAGTAGATAGTAGGTCATCAATGGATGGTGATTGATTGGTTTTGCAACTCTGTTCATTTAATAAGATTTTTTTGGATTAATTTACTGATAACTCCAGAGAAGGCAGGGAAGGAGGGAGAAGGAGGCTGAACGTGTTCCTTTTTCCAATACTTAAATGAAGGGAAGATAATAGGTATGAAAGAAAAATGGTTATCGTAAGGCTATTTGATGTCCTTGAGGTACAGATCCCAATGAATGGAATGGAAAGAGTATTCAAAGATAAATAGCAGGAAAGTGCCATAAAATACCTAATTCTGCAGCATTAAAGTGTACAGCATACTTCGAGAAAAATCAGTACAGGAAGATCAATACCTATATATAACTTGATTAAGTTATCAAACTTCAAGGATAAAGAAAAAATTTCAAATCCTGAAGAAGAAAAAGTCTTCTCCTCATCATCATTCAATGTCACAACACAATGGAACAGTGTCTCCAAAGTCATTCAAGCTTAAAGGCAACAGGGAGGGCCTCCAATGTGAAGGAACGTGAGTAGTGCGGCACCTCTGAGCTCTTCATTAAAACCTACAACAGGAAGAAATCCAGATGCGCAATGGATAAATCAAAAGAAAGAATTATTAGAAGTGAGAAACAGTGATAAAAGGACAATAGTGAGCCCTAGACAATCCATTTAAATATAGAATCAAGGCTGAAGAACTTTGGGAATGACAACCACAAAATAAAAACAAATCTTCTAATTTAAATAAAACTAATGATATAACTAATTTGGGGATCAAATGGAAGTGAGAGCAAGTGTACAAGGTTAGTATCATCTAAAATTAAAATAATAAATTAAAAAATAATGACTAAGCTCTTAATTTTTTGTCATAAACTTTTTATTTCTTAATCCTTATGCTTCTTTTAGCAGTTAATAGGTCTTGAACTGAAGGTACATTTATCTTGAGTTCTGAGGTTTCTTCAGTTTCACTTTGGTTTCTTTTCCTTCCATTAAATTTAAGTAAAACAAAATTTAAGTATTTGCATTTAACAGGACCTCCTTATGCATTAATAAAAATAAGAGAAACTTTAATTTGAAAGTAAATAAAGCGTTTCTAATGCAGGTATTGAACTATAAAGCTGCTGGCTTCCTCCTACAGCCTCAACCTGAAAGAGCCACAGAGGGAAAGTGCCAGGATGTACAGAACTTTGTAAGCAGTTCCTTCTGAGACAGGGCATACTTGCAACCGGTACATGAGAGGGTGATAGTATCAGCTTTGGGCAGAAAGTAAACTTGAAAGACTGTAGCAGAACAGAACAATATGGAAACTATTGCGATTCTACTTTGACTTCTTTCTACCCTAACCCATTGTCTTAATAAACAGTTCCCACCTCCTACATCAGCAGCAGTTTGGAATTCAATCTCAGGTGACCTCAGAAGCAAAATGATGGTAATATGGAAGCACTTCTGAGAAACTGAGAAACAAAAATGTGGATAACTGAGTACAGGCATTTGTCTGGGCACCCTTCCACTCCACGCCCCTAGAAGTGGTTTTTTGGTTTTTTTTTGTTTTTTTTGTTTTTTTTGGTTTTTCTCCAGTACCAGGAACCGAACTCACGACGTTGCGCTTGCCAGGCAGGCACTTTGCCTCTGAGCTAAATCCCCAGCCCAGAAGTGGTTAATTACAGTGTAAGTGCAGTTGATCCTAATGCTGCTTTTTCCTGTGGAGCAAGGGGTGATGACTTGGTCTCCTGAGGAGTTATTTTTTCAAGGAGGAAGTGGTTAATTACAGCTTTCCTCAGCCTGGGGTTTACCCGCTCTCCACTTTCTGATCCACTCCAGACTTAAGCAGTTTGGATCTGACTTTCCTTTACTTGCATTGCCTGATACTACTATAATAAGCAAATGCCTCCAGGGGAAAATGAGTTAGCAATAAATTAGGAAATTTGAAAGCCACATTCAAAAAGCCCTACAATTAAGAAGGAAAGAGCAAAGAAAAAGGTATCTTTAATGTTAAGTGTTTTACACTCAGGGAGATGGTGAATTTCAATAGAGAAACTATGATAAAGAACCAAATAATGATTCTAAAATTGAAAAAGTGCAATATTTGAACCTAAAATTCAAAGGATGGGTCTAACAGCAAATTAGATAGCTGAAGAAGGAAAAAGTAAATGAGCTGTAACATATGTCAGAATAAAACATTCAGAATTAAGCACATGCAACAAAAGCATGACAAATACTGAAGAGAATATAAGCACTATATAGAATGGAGAAAGAAGATCTAACATGGTTAAGAATTTTCAAATTCTAACTATAAATACCATATATTCAAGCAAGCCTACAAACTCAAATCAAGATAAATAGGCATACGTATTAATTACCTTTCCATTGCTGGAATAAAACTCCTGACATACACAGAGGTGAAAAGGGTTATTTTGGTTCATCATTTCAGAGGTTTTAGTCCATGACTAGCTGCCTCCAAGGCAGAAATATCATGATGGAAGCACATGGCAGAAGAAAGCTGCTAACCTCATGGCAGCTGGAAAGCAGTGAGCAAAGAAGAGCAAGGTAGGAAGCCAGGGAGCAGGTATAATTCCCAAGGTCATGTCCCCATGACCCACCCCAGAAGTGTGCTTCACTCATCCTCTACATATCTCTAAAACCAATCAAGTTAGCAATCAAAATTAACCTTCACAGCATATCATGTAGGGGACGATGACTCCTAGCATATCATTTTAAGATAGAATAATTCTAGTCTTAATGTAAGCCTCAAAATGTGTCTTGAGAAACATCCCGGAGGGTTGTAAAGAGTTAACTTTGCAGTCCTGACTTAGCCCTGGAAAGGCAAAGAACACCAGGGCCCAGATAACCACCTATGACCCTGCCTGGGTTGTTTCACCCCTTCCCTGGCCCTAGATAAACATTGTAACCATAAAGGAAATGTATGGTTATCTAAAGGGGAACATATAGAACAGAGTACAGAAAGTATATATCATTGTGGTTGGGCTCATG